CCAGTAAGGTCATCCTTATGCGGTCGAAAACATAATCACAAATCAGAACAAAAACAAACTGTACAACCTCTTTTGGTCGTTGCATGGAATGTCAGGACCCTTCTGGATACTGGCACAAATGAGCGTCCTGAAAGAACTGCTCTTGTGGCAAAAGAGCTGGCTAGGTATAACATGACATAGCAGCCATTAGTGAGTCCCAGTTCACAGAAGAGGGTCAACTCACAGAACGGGGGTCTGGCTGTACCTTCTTCTGGAAGGGTAAGCCTGCTGCCGAGAGAAACCGCATTTATGGAGTTGGCTTTGCCATCTGCCAACGCATCCTACACAGGCTAACTAAAATGCCTATTGGGATCAACAAACTCCTCATGACACTCCGAGTCCCACTGAATCACTCAAGTCATGTCTTTTTCATTAGTGCATACACCCCAATACTGGATGCAAAGGAAGACATCAAGGAGACCTTTTACACAGACCTCGACAGAGTGCTAACCTCTATCCCCAGAGAAGATAATGTTATTCTCCTTGGTGACTTAAATGCCAGAATAGGCAGAGATGCTGACATTTGGCAGGGAACCATAGGGAGAAATGAACAAGGCAGGCGTAATCCCAACGGCCTATTCCTCCTCAGCAAATGTGCTGCATACAACCTCACTATCACTAATACCTTGTTTAGGCAGGTCAACAAGTTCAAGGGTTCGTGGCAACACCCACGATCCAAACACTGGCATCTCATTGACTACATCATCTTCAGAGAAGGGGATCGCCGAGATGTCATCAACACCCGAGCCATGAATGGCTCAGACCACTGTGGCATTGATCATTGACTGATCAGTGCCAAGCTATCACTTCATGTTGCCCCAAGACGTCGAAGGCAGCAAGCCTCCAGAAGAGGTTTTAACAGTAAGCGTCTGGAGGATCCAGAGGCAGCACATGCTTTCAGAGAGCAGCACGAACATCGGCTGATAAACAACTCGATAACAAACAACCCAAATCCCAGTGCCGAATAGGGTGTTCTCGACATTGTCATGGCAAAAACCTGCAAAGAGACCCTCGGCCAGAATGAAAGAATACACCAGAACTGGTTTGATGAAAATGACCTGGAAATCAATGTACTCGTCGATGATAAACGTGCTGCTTTAACTGACTAGCAGAATAACCCTCAGTCTCAGACCAAAGCTGATACCTTCCGCAAGAAGAAAGCAGCGGCCCAGCGTGAACTTCGCACTAAGGAACAAATGGATTAAAAATAAATCATGTGAAACACAAAAATTTGCAGATCAGCACAAGATGTGCAAATTTTTCAATTCCACTCAAACGTTTTATGGACCACTCACTTGTGGTGCAGCCCCTCTCCGCTCTTCTGAAAGTGACTCCCTAATTAAGGGTGATGAAGACATCCTTCAGTGTTGGAAAGAGCACTACCATTGACTGCTCAACTGAAACACCAATGTGGATGCCCTGACTACCCAGCAGGTCCCTCAGCATCCAGAGCTGAACCACCTTAGCTATCCTCCATCCCTGGATGAGGTAGCTACTGCCACCAAACAGATGAAAATTAACAAAGCCTCAGGGCCTGATGGAATCCCAGCCGAGGTGTATAAAGGAGGAGGACCTCTGCTTACCAGCCGTCTCCACTCTCTCCTGGAGAATATATTAGAAAAGGAGGAAATCCTCAAGCTCTTAAAGTTGCCTCCATTGTCAATATTCATAAGAACAATGGAGACCAGTCAGACTGTGGCAACTATTGCGGGACCTCGCTGCTGTCCTTAGCTGGCAAAATTATCGCCTGAGACTTCTTCCTGAGGCAGAAAACTTCCTCCCAGAATCTCAATGTGGCTTTAGACCATCACGTGGCACCACTGACACGATCTTTGCTGCCTGTCAGATACAGGAAAAGTGCAGAGAACTGCCTCGTGACCTGTACTTGCTTTCATCGATCTTCCCAAGGCCTTCGACTCGGTCAACAGGGAAGCCCTCTTGTGGAGCCTCAGCCATTTTGGCAGCCCACCAAAATTCGTCGCTGTTGTGAAGCAACTCCACGATGGCATGAACAGTAGTGTCCTGCACAATGGCACCCAGTCTGAGTTCTTCCCCATCCAAACGGGGGTTAAACAAGGGTGTGTACTGGCACCAACTTTCTTTTCCATTTTCTTGGCTGCCTTCCTTACTCGTGCCAGTGCCAACTCAGCAGGTGGGGTGTACATCAAGTACCAGATGAAGGGTCTTTTCAACATAAGACGACCTTAGGCAGGAACAAAGGTGTCGGCAGCTTCCATCACTGAACTTCAGTATGCAGACGACCTCACTCTTGTCGCTCACACTGAATGCAACCTGAAGGAGATCCTGAACACCTACGCAGATTATTATGCACCTTTCGGCCTTGAGGTAAATGTACGTAAGACTCAGATTCTCTTTCAGCCTGGCCCTGGTTCAGACACACCTCCACCATCCATCCAGCTTAACTGTACTACCCTCTCAAATGTTACCCACTCTCGGTATCTTGGCTCCCAAATGTTCACCACCACCGCGGACATCGATGAAGAGATTAAGCATTGGATCAGATGTGAATCTCAACCCTTTAACAGACTCCGAAACCATGTCTTCAACTGTAGGGAGCTGAAATTATCTACATATATCGAGCAGTGGTTCTCCCCACCCTGCTATATGGCAGTGAGACCTGGATCACATACAGGAGGCACCTCAAGGCACTTTAAAACTTTCACCAATGTAGTCTACGTTCCATCCTCCGAGTTCGCTGGAAGAGAAGAAAACAAATGCCAGTATTCTTGCTGACACCAACTATAGGAGCATTGAGGCTACCATTATCCATGAACAACTACGCTGGCCTGGCCATGTTACTCGAAAGGATGACAGTAGACTGACAAAGCAGCTACTTTACAGTCACCTTACGAATAGTAAACGTAATGCTGGCATAAAACTGAACAGGTATAAGGACAGTCTTAAGACAAACCTGAAAAAGTGCCAAATCGAGTTAAACCTGACTGCATAATGAGGCAGACAAGTGCCAACCTCGGAAAGATGTAGCTCCCCACATGTGCAACATCCGTGAATGACCCTGCCGGTCCCGTATTGGCCTCTTTAGTCACCTTAAAACCCACCAACGAAGGTGACATCCTAAATAACTTATACCATTTTATCAAAGCTGGATGATCGTCATACTCGATTCCAAGTGACAGCAAAGTATTAGTAGGATAGACAGTGTCTTAGTTTCTTGGGTTGACTATTGTAACTCTTTATGGGTTTACCTACCTAATGGTCTACTGAAGAAAGTTCAAACAGTGTTGAACAGGGTTGCCAGAATTATTTTTGCTCCCACTGAGGACTCGCACTACCCCAAGCTTGATTAAATTATATTGGCTTCCAATTAAAGCTAGGATAGAGTTCAAACTCTGTTTAATGACCACATGGGTTTCTGGTTAATAGAAATCTGGAAGTTCAACCTCTATGTGTTTCAACTTGTGATGATAGAAACAAAAATTGGAGGTTTTTAAGGCCAAAAAAATTCCAGTCTTTTTTACAATTTTAATTTTAATTTTTAATTAATAGTATAGTCCAAACAAACAACTACAAAATTAGTGATAAATAAAAACGTAAATAATTAACTCATGGTATATGACTATTTTTTTCATGCTTAAGAAGTTTGTTATATATGATGTAAAATTACAAAAGCCATATATGTAAAAGAAAATTAAAACTAATAAACATTGAACATTTTCTGCTTATAAAGGTACAGTAATTTCTATTTCAGTTAAATGAATATCTTAAGGTATACTCCATTATTAAAAATTTTCAAGGACAACAGTACATGACAGTTGAAAAATAGATCAATATCTTAAGTACAGTACTGTATAAATATATAAAAATGAACATAAAAAATGTCTAAATAACATCACCAACACTACAAATATCTCTATTGTTTTATGTAGTCCCCAAGTTTGCTGAAAGGAAAAATGTATGAAAAAAATTAATCACCACAGTATATACTTGTCTTTTATTTGAAAAATATAATAGCATACTCATGACACATCTTTCTTTCAATATTAATGGAATAAGATATGTATGTATACACAGGATGGAAATTAAATAAAAGATTAATTATTGAGCAAGCAAACATATTCTTTGATGCTGATCACTGAAACCTGATGTTACTGATGATGTCCCAGCACCACATTTATGTCAGGAATAAATTAAACTGGGTGAAAAACATTGTTTCTTCACAACTAAAAAAATTAACCAATACAGTGATCCGTCGGTTAACGAGATTTCGGTTAAGGATTTACCTTCCATAAGATTCTTAACTTCGGTTAACGAGCAATCCCTCGATTAACGAGTTTTTTACAAGCCACTTCAACATGTTTTCGCTTGCATTTGGCGGTCCACCAGCTGTAGTATTAGTCCCCCAATACAGTAATTGGTTTTAAGGCTTAAATTCCTTACTATTTTAGTAAATATCAAGATGTATATACTATTCAATAATTTTAAAAGTTTAATATTAAATGTTTTAGTCATTTTAACAATTATTGAACATAATTGAAGGTAAGGAAACTAGTTTCATGCGCGCCATCCAGCCTGACAACACACCAAACAGGCGCCAGTCTCTCTGTCTTTTCAGTGGAGGTAACATCTTGCTTGAGACTCTCTTCAACTAAATGCTTTTTCTCTGTGTTTGCAAGCAAATTATTGGTCATTTTTAAATTTATTTTACATATTGACAATATATAATGCAGTGCAGTGTTGATTTAAAGAAAATAATCTTGAATTACACCAAGAGTACTAAAATTTTATGGGTGAAATGGCGCAATGGGGTGACTTCTCTTCCACCCCAATGCCTTCTCTTCTCCCTTCTCCTCCACCCCCATTCTAATTCCCATCATCATCATCATCATCATCATCCAGGAGCCTTCTCCATACACACCCCAAAGTATGTGTACTTTTCTACCTTTTTTGTTGAATTTAGGCAATTTTCGGTGAGCTGGAACCAATTACCCAAAAACCCATTGAAACAATGGTTTCGGTTAACGAGTTTTTTGGTTAACGAGCAACCTGCTGGAACGGATTGTGCTCGTTAACCGAGGGACCAATGTATTCGATCATTGTTTTCACAATTTATAGCTGTATACGGTATGTATAACTTATAGTTTAATTTGTCATCTGGGAAAACATTAAGTACGTGTTCATTATTTTTCACTATGTTTTAGATGTGGTTTGTCCCTCAATGAATTAAATGGAATGTAAAATGTCTCTAAATTTATCAATAATATAGTAGGAAAATTTATATCCTGCAACAGGAAGGAAATATATGAATAAGAAATATGTGTAGTACAGTATAATAAAATGGTGTTCTTATGGTAAACTTGAAATCAGTATTTGTCTGCTGTACTGTATTCATGTTAATGGCCACACAGATGCACACTTTAAGAATTACCAAGGATTAAAATTCCCCCCAAAATATTTGTTGTAGAGGCTCATATTTTTCATACTTATTGATTTGATGATTGTGGGTTATTTCACCATATTTCAAGAATTTCGAATGTTGGCACTCATTAAAACCACAGACTTAGCAAAAAAAATAAATATAAAGCAATTGTGGGATCATAAAATATCATTGCTTTCTTTAATAACTCATACAAAGGCAAACGCCAAAACAACAGATCACACATCGTCTTTATGTTCAAGATTTGAGAGTCCTCTGTACTTGCAAGTCACTCATACGTTAAACCCAAGAACAATGTTTTCAAGGTGTCTCCATTATGACAGACGTCACATTTAGATTATAATGAAAATATGAGTTAAATGAACATTCTATGGATTATCTATTATGATTTCTGATCCTTTCATTGACCTCATCCAGATGTCCTGCACTGTGTAAGGATACTGATACTACTCAGAGGCTTCCTTCAGGTCCTTCTGGTGCTTGGTGATGTGTGTTAAGAGGTCAATCTGGGTCACAATACCAATGCACACCTCCTTCTCTATGACGGAGCCTTCCATATCTGCAACCATAAAAACATTGAATCAATAATGAGCAGGGTTTTTTTTTTTAATAAATAGGTTGTTGCTTAAAATTCACAAACTTGTGTTACAACATACACAAACTCTCCATTATTTAAAAATAGGGAGATTATAAAGTAAAGAGTACTCAAGAACTCCAGGGGACTCATATCGAAGCTTCCTTGAGTTCAGACATGTGAGTGGAACTAATCCAAAAATAAGTTTAAGATGTCCCATAATAGTGCTGTATCTGGGTTTCTAAAAGATGTCAGCTGTTGTACCAGCACCAGTGTACTGTACTTGTCATTTGTCATACTAAGCTACAAACTGCCATTCCATAATCAATCCCCCTTGTCTCAACTCACCTCAGCAATCCCATTAAGGAGGAGGGATAAAACTTAATTTACCTGACCCAGGCTTGGATATAAAATGGGATTTCACGATTATTCTCCCATTAATACCTATGGGCCTGGCTTGAGTCATTCAAAAGTCTGCAGCCAACTAGAAGAGGAAGTTATGAGGTCATATGCAAGGTTATTACCCAAGGCCTTCAGTGAAACTCAGTCCAGACAGTGATCCACAAACAGCTTTGTTGATGTCCAGGCCTCTCTAGGAAGTATGGATTTCACAAACATCCCTCTCAGGAATACTAGCGAAGGTGTGACTCCATTACACCATTTGCCTCAAGCATAAAAGAATCTAGCAAACTAACTATTGTAGTTTCAAAAACAAACCAAATTCCAAGGATCTAATAAAAAAGAATCCTTAACCCTTAGGCCCTGGGTGACGTTCCAGAATGTCCGTCCAGCGCGCCCCGGGTGACGTTCCAGAACGCGCGCCTATTCCCGCCACTGTTTAAATGCCCAGCCTGGGTTATCAGGTTCCAGTGTGACTATTTGCCTCTCACACCACACGCTCGGCCACAGAGAAGCTTCCTAAACATAATTACCTACTTTTGTTTGTTTCATTTTCATTGTTTGTCCATTTTATCATGTTGTATCAAAGTAATATTGCTAAAAGTAGTGTAGTTGTACTGTAGGGTAGTATTACTGCAAAACAATGCTATGATTAGGTACTCCTCGACTTATGACCTACTCGACTTACGACCACCCGGACATACGACCGCCGCAGTCATACCAAATTTTTTTCAAATTACGTATTTTCGAGTCCCGATGTTAGTGATCGTGCTGTGTACTGACAAAATTTTCGTTTGTAATTCCCTTTAAAATGGCTGGCAAGCTTAAAAGTTAAAGTTTTGTGGTGCTGAGAAGAAAAAGAGACACCCATTTTAGATTTTCTATGTATTATTTTCGCATTTTCGACTTACAACCTGGATTTGGGTCCCTAGCCCCGTTGTAAGTCGGGGACTGCCTGTTATAAATGTATTTATTTGTGGAATTATTATTATTTTATGCATTATTTGCTCTACCAAACACAAAGACAACCAGGCACTTTTTTTATGATATATTATGCAAATAAAATATTCTTAATTAATTATTTATAGCAAATAAGTTTTAAGATTAGTAAATACATACATTATTGGCCACCTCGGACACAAAGGCAAGCTTAAAATAGCTGCTAAGTGCCGAGGGACCAAGAGCGTCAGCTGTCAAACCAACACTGTCTCCTCATCTCCTCCCTCCCTCTCCGCGGTCACGAAAGTTTCTTGAGGGTCAATATATAAATCTTGTTGCATATTTTTTTCTTTTTTTTATCATTTTAAAAGGCTAAAAATTATTTTTGGAAAAGTTGATTTTTCTCGACTTACCCCCAAGTGGGGGGTACTGCCACCAGCATCCTAACCCGGGGCTTAAGGGTTAACCCTCGCCTTATTTGTAACATCATCCCTTCTCATGCAGGGGGATTATCTTTTTTTTCTTCAGATCAATTTTTTGACAAACGGATATTGTTTGATATGAAACCAACTGCATTCTATGTAAAACTGGTAGCTCTTTTCAGAAAACAAAATTAAGACTAAATATTTTTGATGATGTGAAATTATGCATTACAGGCATTGGCGATCGCTATGTGATGGATCGTATATTGATTTTAATAACTTATGGGGAAAAACAGGTTCCATTCCTGAGTAACAGGAGAGCCCAAATAAGTTTTATATGCTGCTGCTATAATGATTAAATAATGTCTAAAAAACTAAAATAATTCATATAGACATGAAATCAATAAATTAAAAAAAAAAATTTACCTTCCATGAACATGTGTGTATAGACTTGGCAGGTCACCAATTTAGATGGCAGTGTAGCTACATTGCCACTCTCCTCCTACCAGGTGAAGCTGTGTTAGTGTTATTTTTCAACTCGTAATTTTGATTAGATATACATATTTTTATTAATTTTCTTTTACTCTGTTACGTGGATTACGTGTCTGGTATTAAGTGTGCAATCATGGGAGGGGGAGAGTTGGTGGTGAGGAGCGGTGATAGTGGGGAGCGGTGGTAGTACAGAGCGGTGATGCGGGGGCGGTGATGGCAGGAGGGAAGGGATAGTGGGGGGCGGTGATGTGGGGCGGTGATGGTGTGGAGTGGTGATGGTGGGGAGGCGGTGATGGTGGGGGCGGTGATGGTGGGGAGGCGGTGATGTGGAGTGGGTGAGAGTGGGGGCGGTGATGGTGGGGAATGGTGATGAGTGGGGAGGCGGTGATGGTGGGGCGGTGATGGTGGGGGCGGTGATGGGGGGAGCAGTGAAGGTGAGGCGGTGGAGTGAGTGGGGGAGCGGTGATGGCGGGGACGGTGATGGTGGGGGCGGTGGGGTCGGTGATGGTGGGAGTGCTGGTAGTACAGGCGGTGAGTGGGGGCAGTGGCGGGGCGGTGATGGTGGGGAGCGGTGGAGGCGGTGATGGTGGGGCGGTGATAGTGGTGTGTGGTGATGGTGGGGGTGGTGGTGGTACAGGCGGTGGTGGGGGCGGTGATGGTGGAGGTGGTGATGGTGGGGCGGTGATGGCGGGGCGGTGATGAGTGGGGGAGGTGATAGTGGGGAGTGGTGGTGAGTACAGAGCAGGGTGAGTGGGGAACGGTGATAGTGAGGAGCAGTGATGGTGAGGGAGCGGGTGTGAGGTGGGAGCAGTGGTGGAGTGGGGGTGTGGTACAGGCGGTTGTGGTGGGAGCGGTGATGCGGTGATGGCAGGGGCGGTGTGGGGGAGGCGGTGATGGCGGGGGCGGTGATGGTGGGGAGGCCGGTGATGGTGGGGGCGGTGATGGTGGTGGTGGTGGGGCGCTGGTGGGGGCGGTGATGGCAGTGAAAGTGGGGTGATGAGTGGGGTGGTGGTGAGACAGAGCCGGTGATGGTGGGGGGCGGTGATGGGGTGGGGAACAGTGATGGTGGGGTGGTGTGGTACAGAGGGTGATGAGTGGGGCGGTGATGAGGGGCGGTGATGAGTGGGGGACGGTGATGAGTGTGGGAGGTGATGGTGGTGGCGGTGATGAGTGGGGGTTGGTTGGTGAGCAGAGCGGTGGTGGGGAGGTGATGGCGGGGGAGCGGTGATGAGTGGGGGAGGCGGTGATGAGTGGGGGAGAGGTGATGGGCGGTGATGAGTGGTGGTGATGAGGTGGGGTGGTGGTGGTGAGGTGGGGTGGAGTGGGGCGGTGATGGCGGTGAAAGTGGGGAGCGGTGATAGTGGGGGAGGCGGTGATGGTGGGAGCGGTGTGGAGTGGGGAGCAGTGATGGTGGGGAACAATGATGTGAGGTGGTGGGTAGTGCAGGTGGTGGGTGGGGGATGGGTGATGGTGGGGGTGGTGATGGTGAGGTGGTGGGAGGTGGTGGTGGTCGCGGTGATGGGGAGGCGGTGATGGTGGGGGAGTGGTGATGGTGGGGGTGGTGATGGTGGGGGCGGTGATGGTGGGGGAGTGGGGTGATGGTGGGGGCCGGTGATGGTGGGGAGGTGATGGCAGGGGGCGGTGATGGTGGGGAGCAGTGATGTGGGAGATGTGTGGGGGGAGCGGTGATAGTGGGGAGGCGGTGATAGTGGGGTGTGGTGATGGTGGGGTGGTGGTAGTGCAACGGTGATGGCGGGGGGAGGCGGTGATAGTGGGGAGCAGTTATAGGTGGGGAGGCGGTGATGGTGGGAGTGGTGGTGAGTGCAGGTGATTGGAGTGGGAGTGGTGATGGTGGGGGTGGTGGGGAGCGGTGTGGGGAGGTGGTGGTGGTACAAGGCGGTGATGGCGGGAGTGGTGTGGTGGGGGTGGTGATGGTGGGGGCAGTGAGTAGTGGGGACCGGTGATGGTGGGGCGTTGATGGTGCAGTCAGTGGTGATAGTGGGGGGCGGTGATGGTGGGGGGAGGCGGTGATGGCGGTGATGGTGGGGGCGTGTGCGTGTGTGGGGAGCAGTGATGTGGGGGCAGTAATGGCGGGAGGCGGTGATAGTGGGGAGGTGATAGTGGGGCGGTGATGAGTGGGGGTGGTGGTGGTGCAAAGGCGGTGATGGCGGGGCGGTGATAGTGGGGAGCGGTGATAGGTGGGAGCGGTGATGGCGGGGAGCAGTGATAGTGGGAGGCGGTGAGTGGGGAACAGTGATAGTGGGAAGCGGTGATAGTGGGAAGCGGTGATGGTGGTAGCGGTGATAGTGGGAAGCGGTGATAGTGGTGAGCGGTGATGGTGGTGAGCGGTGAGTGGGGGCGGTGATAGCGGGAGCGGTGATAGTGGGGAGCGGTGATAGTGGGGAGCGGTGATGGTGGTGAGGCCGGTGATGAGTGGGGATTGGTGGTGGCGGTGATGGCGGGGAGTGGTGATAGTGGGGAACAGTGATAGTGGGATGCGGTGATGAGTGGTGGCCGGTGATGAGTGGGATTGGTGGTAGTACAGGCGGTGGTGGTGGGGAGGCGGTGATGGCGAGGAGCAGTGATGGTGGGGGCGGTGATGGTGGGGGAGTGGTGATGGTGGGGAGCGGTGATGGTGGGGAGCGGTGATGGTGGTGATTGATGGTGGGAAGCGGTGATGGTGGTGAGCGGTGATGAGTGGGGGGTGGTGGTGGTACAAAGTGGTGGGGTGGT